TGGGGTCAGAAGGAAGCACTAGCCTTCAAACAGCTCAAAGACATGCTAACTTCAAACAGCGTACTAGTTCAGTACAATGAGACCCCACTGCTAACCCTGACTTGTGATGCCTCTCCATATGGTGGAGAGAAATTATTTTCATTTTTTTTGAGAACACTGTCTGGGGCAGAGAGAAATTACAGCCAGCTTGACAAGGAGGTGCTGTCTGCTGTCGCAGGGATTAAAAGATTCCACAAGTACATGTATGGATGGAAGTTTGAACTTATAACTGACCACAAACCGTTATTAGGCCTCCTCGCGGGTGACAAGAAAACACCGCAGATCCTGTCCCCACACATGATTCGGTGGACTGAATTCCTAGCGGCCTATCAGTACAAGTTCATATACCACCCAGGCTCGAACATAAGCAATGCGGACACACTGAGTAGATGCCCGTTGGCACAACAAGTGGAACACCCTCGTGACAGTACTACTAGTCAAGACTCTACAAAGGGAACTGATCATTGCCACTAAGGTGGCCAAAAAATCCAAAGAAGACCCAACCATAGCACAGGTACTGACCTGGGTGTGGGCAGGGTGGCCTAACAAGCCAACAAGTACAGCATTTAGCCCATTTAAAGCGAGGCAACACAAACTATCAGTACAGAAGGGTTGCCTACTGTGGGGGATCTGCGTAGTGATACCCCAACAACTGAGAGAATCGTTGCTGCAGACACTACATGAAGGAAATCCCAGGATGGTCCGCATGAAGGCATTGGCTTGCAGTTATCTGTGGTGGCCATCCATGGATAAAGACATTGAACAGTGGGTCGCCTACTGCAAACCATGTCACCCCCCTGTCACACCACCATGAGAATGGGAGATGCCAAGAGGTCCATGGTTCAGACTACATGTCGACTTCACTGGGCCAATACACAATAAATACTTTTTAATTATCATCGACGCCTCGTCCAAGTGGTTGGAGGTGGCTGTCATGAGCAATACCACTACAGATGCCACAACCAATGTATTATACAAATTGTTCACCACCCATAGCCTGCCAGATATGTTGGTCTCTGACAACGGGCCACAGTTTATGGCCAGGCCATTTGAACTATTCCTGGCTAACAGGGGGTATCTGCCACATGCTCACCACTCCATTTCATCTTGCAGGAAATGGTCAAGCAAAGAGGATGGTCCACACAACAAAAGAGGCCCTAAGCAGAATGGGGCAAGGCAATTCACAAGAAAAGCTAGAGAGATACTTTTTAACCCAGCACATTACCCCATGCATGGCAGAAGCCCAGTGGAGCTGTTAATGGGGAGGAAATTGAGAACACAGCTGGATAGGATACAACCCAACTACGGGGCAGACAATCAACAAAGAGATGAAGAAACAATCAGACAGTTCCAACAAGGCGAAAGGGTGTACAACAAAAACTATGCTGAAAAACCTATTTGGGTACCTGGCCACATACTTGATGTCACGGGGCCCCAGTTGTACCATGTAGAGCTCAGCAACAGTAAGGGGTGGTACAGACACATCAACCAGCTGAGGAGAAACCTGGCATGACTGACTGATAGCAAATTGGAGGACACTGAACTACAGGGGGACAAGGAGAGAGACTTACCGGAGAAGGAGATCGCAGTGCCTGAGGTGACACTTGTCATGAACCCCTTACCAGCTGAAGTCCTCAGGGACACATCCAGTGACTCTGAAATTTGACAAAGACACTGATGTGTGTATTGAGCAACCCAGAGTCTGGGAGGATGGGAGGTCAAATCGATCCTGGAAACGACCAGCCGACTTAAAGGATTATGTCTGTAGTTAAAGTTATGGTATAATAATAAGTAATAAGTTAATTAAGTAATAAATTAAACGTTAATAAAGTATACTAGTTAGTAGTAAGTAATAATAGAATAATAGTATTAAAGTACCAGCTGGATGGTGAGGGGGTGTTGTGTCTGCGCAGCAGCAGACACAGAATAGCCTGCTGTTAGTAGTGTGGGAAAATACAGTTATTTAATTGGCTAACGGCATGGCAGGCAACCGCTATATAAGGGAGTCCGCCAGCCGTTAGCTCTCGTAGTGTTGCAGTTGGAATTGAGTACTTACCACTAAACATTGACTGTGGATCCATTGTCTCTGGCTCCTTCTTGCCCACAACATAACACTCCCTGGGGTTGGGGATCCCCTTCGTTCATCAGTAGCCTCCTTTTGCACTCCTATCTTGCCTGCAGCACAAGCTGGGGTGCCCTGGATCCACATGCCTGGATCCACATGCCATGAGGTTCATGGCTTCCCTCAGGAGTTGATTGGACCGGTCTGGGGTTTCTTTCAGTTCGTTGTTGTGGCTCTAACCCATTGTCTCCTCTTAGTATATTCATAATTTCTTCTTTCACTTTTCTAATCACAGGCATATGGCCAGCTCTCTGCACTCTCCCTAGCTCTTGCTGATTAGTGACTTTTCTTTGTATTCATCACTTTTACTTGTCCCAGCTCATGGAGTTGGGACCCAGCCATAATTTGGGTGTTCTACAGGTTTGATTCTCCAGTGTGGCATGCTCTCAAAACTCCATCAAGTTGATCTCCACTTTGCTGGCAACTCAGAACCACACTTGTAGGTTGTGCAGTCCTATTGGGGTATGCAGTTTTGGTATAGCTCTTGGTTCAGCCCTTCTCGGAAATAGGAAACCAGCATATGCTCAGGCCAGTCCCTCAAGTGGTTAGCTAGGGTGTGGAAGTCTTGGATGTACTCTATCACTGGCCTCTTTCTTTGTGTAAGGGTGTGGATACAGGATTACATGCATCAGGCTACCACAGAGTCCTCGAATCACCCATAGGTTCTGCATGAATGCATCCAGCTCACCCAGCTCTGGTGCCTGCTAGCATGCAGGGACACTAGCCATCCAGTAGTGCTGCCTTCCAGGTTGGATGCCACTGTGTAAACCTGGCCTGCATCATCTAGGTAGATTCCTCCATAACATTCCATGTGATGCCACATCTGGGCCAAGAAGTGGGCCAGCTTATCTGGATACCCATCTCTTACCACAATGTACTCAGGTGGTAGGGACACTGCTGCTGGTGGTGGAGGAGGAAGAACCCTAGCTTCTCCTAGGATCACAAGGGCTGGGTGCTGCCATACCACTGGCTGCAGGAGGAGATGGGTTGGTTAGCAATTTCACTCGCCTCCATCACAGCCACCACCACTGCAGCACCCTTTGATCTCTAGCCTGCCAAATCTTTCCCCCTGCTGCTCCATCAATAGGCTGCTGGTGGCCATTGGAAGTTTCTACTCAATCAGCTCATCCCATTTGACCAGCTTCAGTTTTTCAGCTCCCTGTTTGGAACCCATGCCTGCTGGCTGAACCCCTAACCCAATCTGCAACACTGCTTCTTGAGCCAAGGTTTTCCCCAGCTTCCTCTCCTCCTCCTCCTTGTCTGTCATTGGTATCACAGGCTTACTGACTTCGTAGTGGTGTCCAGGGTAGGCACTACCATGAGAATTAACTTAATGTCAACCATCCCAGTTGGCACATTCTAAAAAAGGACCTCCTGGCCTTGATTTTACCAAGAATAAACTTTATTGAAAAATCCATATAGGTACAGAAAAGTCAGTTCTGACATTTTCCCATGAAAACCAGTATAGGTAAAAACTCCATTCTTCTCTGGGCCATCCTTAGCTCATTGTCCACCAATTAAATGCAATTCTTTTGTTTTGGGAAAACAATCTGTGTCTTTTAAACAGTTCTTAGAATTTGACCTTGGTAGGTAACTGTTCTCATGTGGCAGAAACCTCTCACGCATTCTTTAGCCCTCCCTGCTCCCTAGGAATCCTCCTGTTTCTGTTTTTCAAACTATGAGTTGAAATGAGGTGCAGGTAATGATGAAACTGAGAGTCAGCTTTGACACCTGCCTGCTGCTCACACAAATGGAGTGAGCACAGATGCTCTTGCCAACTGCTCATACAAGTGGATGCACATGCAAGCTCACTTGCCATTTCTGCAGCCCAGTTCCATACATCTCAAGGGCTAGTAATGGGCCATGGGCCAGAGTTTGGTGACCTCTGGCCTATCTCTCACTGATCATTGAGTACTGATCACTGAGTCTGATGAGGACATACCCCTCTCCTCTGGTACCTATGCACTGTTGTTCGGGTCCATTCTTGCAATAGATGAGTCCAGCTGTTCCACTAGAATCTTCCCCCTTTGTGTATTAGATCTCAGAACATATCAGCTTAGAGCCCTGGCTTTGAAAAAGAAAAAGCCAACAGGCTCTCTGCCACTTCACTGAACACCCCCCGCCCTTCAAATGCCAGTTGGCTGTTATTTAGCTCCAGTTGATGTGCAACTTGTTTCTTGAAGAGAGCTACTAACTCATGTTCAAAAGAAGCCTTCTAAAGCCGGTTGGCATCAGTGCAAGGGAGGAGGGATGCAGTAAGAAAAGCTCAGTCACCACCACCCCATCACGCCACTCCACCCCATGTAGTGCTGCAATTAATGAGTGATTTTCTTAGTGATCAATAACATTGAGGAAGATGGCCAAGCCAAAAGAATGTAACAGCCCCTTTACTTAGTGCAATCTATGGAGGAACTTAGGAAAACACACTCTAGCCATGAACACTGGTTTTTGGAAAATTCAGAAGCGTTTGGCATTTGCAGTTCAGAAAGCAAAATCTAAGTTTGTTTTGTTTTTTTGACAGTTTTCATTAGCTAGAAAACTCTTTACTCTGCAGAAGTCTTGCATCTGCTAAGCTAGGATACTCATAGAAGGAAAACAGCTGGTATAAGATGGTGTGTTTAAGCAAAGGCATAACTATCTCTTCTCTTTATACTGCTTTCCCACTCCAAAAGATACACTTTAGCTGATTGGGTGAGCTATGCATATTTGTGTGTAAGGTAAAATAGGTCCTTATATTAGCAATTATAGTAGGTTATACTTTGCTATTTAAATGCTGGGTTCTCAGGGATTTTTTGTTTGTGTTGTCTGTCCTTTTTGTCCTCTGCACTGCTGGTGGCAGTGTCCGTCGGGCATACATAATAAACAAGGAGATCTGCTCTCGTATTGTTTGCAAAGAAGATGAAGCCATGCAAGGTAAGTGACATGAGAAAAAAGGATATTTTTATCAAAAATTCCAATATTAGAACAATGCATAGAAAGAAATGATTGTGTCTCTTTTAAAGGAGGAAAAGTCATTCTTATCAGAGCTGTATGGTTATATAATTCTAGTAACATTCAATTGTCAGTGAGACAATTTAAGAAGCCTGCTAACAAATGGGGGGAGATGCAGAAATGCTAAATATGCAGAATAGGCAAGGGGTGGGGGGGGGAGAGGGGGGGAAGGAAGAACCAGGATTTGTTTAGGTGATTATTAGGTACATACTGTTTCCAAAACAAGTTTCTGGATATTCTCCAGTTGTGTCACAGTGATTCTAAGTGTATTTGAAGTGTACTACATTCCTAAACAGATATAAAAATAAATAAAATAGAACAGTGGTCAGCAAAGAAAAACATTAGATTTGCTTGAAGATTTTCAAACTGCTCTGAATATTCCTCAATGACCAGAAAAAAAATTAAAAATGCGTAAAACACATAAAGAAAAAAAATATTTAAAATATTCTATTTATATTTGTTTTTCCTGAAACCTGGGAGACTTTTATGCAAATGAAATATTACAGACTTCAGGACAAGTACCTGTGAAATTCACAGATTGAAAGCTATCCTTAAAATATATGTATTAATTAGAAACTGAACTGGGTGCCCTCCCCCACATTCATATTTAGTCATGATTTTAAAGCTATGGATCCATAAAATTATTCTTGCAAATGAAGCTGCATGTGTCAAATGATTAGCTCTTTCTTTTTCTGGTCCATGTCTAGAGGAGATTTGCCGCCAGCTGGCTGGCCTGCCACCACGCCGCCTACGCCGTTCTAATGAACCTCGAGGACCATCTTGTCGACAAGCAAAGGGCCAATCTCAGAACACGCTTGATTCTCAAGTGATCAGGAAGCTGTAGGAATGAGATGAACAAAGAAGAACTGAGATCATACTGGAAACCCATTCCAAACTTACCTTTTCACACACAATTCCTGTCTCAAAGGGTGCTTCACTAGCATAGGGACCTTTCATATCAATAGGTCATCTTTGAGATGTTAGTACTTAGACCCTCCTGTGCACCTGCTTCTAGGTTATTTTAACCTTGGACTCCTTATATAAGTCCTACCCAAAACCCACCTTAAAATACAAATACAAAATACTTGTTTTTTTCAGTGACTTCCCACCCAGTTTAGAACTAGCTTGTCTACAGAAAATTGCAGATAAATTAATATAATTTGTATGGATGATGCACTTATACTCTATTCTTTATAGGGTTTGTTTGTTACTCTGAAAAATTAAGGATAATAACCATATATTGAATTTACCACTTGTATATCTTATATACCTACTTGAAGAGGAGACACTGAAACTATAGAATCATAGAAAGTAAGGATCCATATAGACCAGGGATGTCAAACTTCAAGGCCCGGGGGCCAGATCCAGCCCAAAAGGTGCTTAGATCTGGCCCACGGGGCTGCCCTGGAAACAGTAAAGGACTGGTCCATGGTGCCTCTGCAAGTGAAAATGGAGCTCACAAGGGCTGCCCATGGCTCTCCTGAGCTCCATTTCCACTGGCAGAGGGTAGCAGGAGTCCGTTGCAGCTGAAAATGGAGCTCAAAAGCCCATTTTCTCTGGTAGAGTCCTCGGGCCACCACATATGCCCCTTACACAAGTGATGTTGAGCTGGCCACACCCACCCTGGTCATGCCTACTCTGGCCCCCCAAGGTCAAACACAACCCTGATGCAGCCCTCAATGAAATTGAGTTTGACACCCCAATATAGACCACCTAGTACAGGCATCCACTACTATAGCATCCCTGATATAAACACTCTGTATAAACACTTCCATTAAGAAGAAATTACTATTTCCTGAGGCCATTTGATCTACTCACTTCTAGGATATTTTGTCTTAACATCCAATCAGAAGCTACTTCATTTATCTAACTATTTTTAGTTCTGTATTTTGGATCAACTTTGAAAAGATTCTACATAACAGCAGTCATTCAGATGTTTGAACAGCTACCATGTCTGTCTAATCTTCTCCAAGTGAAATATATCAGACACTTTCAACTACTTCTTGTAAAGTTTTCCTCCAGGCCCTAATTCATCTGATTGTTCTCCTCTAGACTTGCCAGTGTGACTGTCAGTGTGAGAGTAAGTGTGATTGTCTTTCCTAAGACATACCGGTAGTACCCAGAACAGGATGCAACATTTTGTATAAAATCTGAAAGAAAGAACTTTTTTATTAAACCTCTGCTTACTCCTCATATTTACTCCTCAATATATGGATAACATAACAAAGTGGTTTCCTTATATGTCTTCTGAAGCTGCTTCAACAAGGGTCAGCAATAAGCATTGCTCATAGTTGACAATTAGCTTTAGTCACCAACACAATGGCAATCAGTAGTAATCAGAAATCTCTCCTTCTCCTTGGCCCTTTCTCTCTTCTGCTTATGCTCTTCTGCAGTCTATTTCAACTTTCTCTGCCAAATTCCCATTGCTCTCCATCTCCTCTTATAGCTCATTACATATCCTATAAACTTATCACTGGCTTTGTGTGAGAAGAAAATTCTGCTTCTCTCAGAATGAGATGTAGATGGGGATGAAATATATTGAGAATTGTCAACTAAATACTTATACTGCTATTGCAGTGGGAAGGAGGGACATTACTTAAACATCTATCTCTGTTTCATAAATCTTGTTCACTGCTCCACAGTAAGGAGACTGAGAATATAACATTGCAGGCTGAGAACCTAAATTTATGTTAGGTTTAGATTAGAAAGGCCCAATCAAACAGCAGAATTAGGAATAAATTCTAGTGTTCTAAAAGGCAACTTTGGATCGTCTCTCACTGCTTCAGATTCTAAAACTACCATTCTATGGCTGCATCTAGAAATAACTTTGTTCTAAGTGTGATGGAAACTGATATTCGAAATATCTCCATTCCTTGATTTTGCCCATTCTCTTTAGTCCATCCTAAATGCATACTTGAGACTGGTTTTCTATTCCCCAGCCCTCCCCCCACCAATTAATTGATGGCTATCACATAACATTTTGATTCTTAATGCTGTGCCAAAATTACTGCTATCCAACGGGCAACTATTATTTAAATTTTAAATCAAAGTGAAGTTGCACTGGAGACAGGAAAGAGACAAAAGCAAATGATAGAAGAATTGAGAGAAAAATATTGGGATACTTGAATATATAGTTATATTCGATTGTTCACTAGGATTCCAAAGATCTCTCTCAAAGTTACTGCTATTAACCCAGGTGACCCTAATTTATGCTTGTACATTTGGTTTTTCTTGCATAAGTATAAAACATTACTTTTCCTTCCATTGAATTTCATTTTGGCAGATAGGGCACACCAGGCTCTGTGTTCAAGTCTTTCAAGATCCATTGATCCAGATGACACTAAACTTGCAGGAATGGATCTCGACAGACTTGAATATTGGGCCCAAAATGAAATTCAATAGTGAGAAAATAAGGTTTTACATCTAGGCAAAAAACAACAGCCAAATGTATAGGCACAGATTAGGTGAAATCTGGTGGAATAGCAGTAACTGGGAGAGGGATGTTGGAGTCCTACTTGGTAATATGAGCCAGCAGTATGCGGCAGCAGCCAAAACAGCCAACACAATCCTAGGTTGCATTAACAGTGGAATAGAATCAAGCTAGGGGTGGGATTCAAATTTTTTAACAACCGGTTCTGTGGGCATGGCTTAGTTGATGAGTGTGACTTGATGGTCATCTGACTGGTGTGGCCAATCCAACATCACTC